TATATATATATATATTATATATATATAATATATATATATATATATATATATATATATTGGTCTATCATCGATGATACTTTGGAGTCATTGTTGCCTCTAAATAACTTCCTTGATTTTGAAAATAATGATAATAATTAAGAAAAGATAAATAATTAAAAGATCAAAACAATTATATCTGCTTTCGAAACACCATCAGGATTACCAACACTACAAAATCAAGACAGAACGTGTACCCAACTAACCGAAAGTCATTCCACAGAATCCCTGGAGAATAGAGAGAAGAACAACCCATAACATGTTCCCCTCACAAGGTAGCTGGAACACCGGGAACATGAACACCAGGATAAGGGCGATCTGCACGAGCATCACCATCATCTGCGTCGTCAGGTGAGCCAACATGACCTCGCTTGACTGAACACCTGGAATAGAATAGGTTGCTGGGTTAAAATATATTTTGAGATTGGTCGAATGATGTACGTTAGTTATTTGTAATAGAATGTATGGGTTGCTGGTCAAAATATATTTTGAGATTGGTCGATGATGTACGTTAGTTATTTGTATTAGAATTGTGGGTTGCTGGGTCAAAAATATATTTTGTTTTGTCGAATGATGTACGTTAGTTATTTGTATTAGAATTGTGGGTTTGCTGGATCAAAATATATTTTGTTTGTCGAATAATGTACGCGCTAGTTATTTGTAATAGAATTTGCGGGTTGCTGGGTCAATAATATCTTTGGAGTTTTTGTCGAATGATGTACGCTAGTTATTTGTAATAGAATTGTGGGTTGCTGGGTCAACATATCTTTTGGGCTTTGTCGAATAATGTACGTTAGTTATTAATATTAGAATTTGTGGTTGCTGGGTCAAAATATATTTTGAGTTTGTCGAATGATGTACGCTAGTTATTTGTAATAGAAGTTTGGGTTGCTGGGTCCAATATATCTTTTGAGATTGGTCCGAATGATGTACGTTAGTTTTTTGTAATAGAATGTTTGGGTTGCTGGGTCAATATATCTTTTTGAGATTGGTCGAATGATGTACGCTAGTTAATTTGTAATAGAATGTTTGGGTTGCTGGGTCAATATATCTTTGAGATTGGTCGAATGAATGTACGTTAGTTATTTGTAATAGAATGTTTGGGTTGCTGGGTCAATATATCTTTTGAGATTGGTCGATGATGTACGTTAGTTATTTTGTAATAGAATGTTTGTTGCTGGTCATATATCTTTTGAGATTGGTCGAATGATGTTACGCTAGTTATTTGTAATAGAATGTTTGGGTTGCTGGGTCAATATATCTTTTGAGATTGGTCGAATGATGTACGTTAGTTATTTGTAATTTGTGGTTGCTGGGTCAAAATATATTTTGAGATTGGTCGAATGATGTACGTTAGTTATTTGTAATAGAATTTGTGGGTTGCTGGGTCAATATATCTTTGGAGTTTTGTCGAATAATGTACGTTAGTTATTGATATTAGAATTTGTGGGTTGCTGGGTTAAAATATATTTTGAGATTGGTCGAATGATGTACGTTAGTTATTTGTAACAATTTGTGGGTTGCTGGGTCAAAATATATTTTGAGATTGGTCGAATGATGTACGCTAGTTATTTGTAATAGAATTGTGGTTGCTGGGTCAATAATCTTTGGAGTTTTTGTCGAATAATGTACGTTAGTTATTGATATTAGAATTTGTGGGTTGCTGGGTTAAAATATATTTTGAGATTGGTCGAATGATGTACGTTAGTTATTGATATTAGAATTTGTGGGTTGCTGGGTCAAAATGTGTATTTTTGATTTTGTCGAATGATGTACGCTAGTTATTTGTAATAGAATTTGCTGGGTCAATATATCTTTTGAGTTTTGTCGAATGATGTACGCTAGTTATTTGTAATAGAATTTGTGGGTTGCTGGTCAAAGATCTTTTGAGATTGGTCGAATAATTATTAGTACGCTAGGTATTTGTAATAGTGGGTCGCTGGTCAATATATCTTTTGAAGTTTGTCGAATAATGTTTTATATATTATATTCAACGGATTGCCATTATAATTCTCGTAATATATTGTTGCATTTGGGATTGTAATCGCAATCTATATTTCAGTGTACTTGCATGATGTACAATACATACATACATACATACAATATATACATACATACATACATATATATATATATATATATATATATATATATATATATATATATATATTATCATATATGTAAACAAATCTACATACAAATATAAACATCTTTATATATACATATATTGTATATGCATCTTCGTATCTAATCTGGAATTCTTTCATTTATATCTGTCTATCTTTCTTATCTGAAAAAAGGTTCATTTTCCTAATCGTCAAGCACAAACATAAACAATTTTAACCATGACTTGCATATTTTTTCTAGTCTCCATAGTTTGAAGATTTTTTTTTCGCTATTATCAGCTGCCATTGACTACGAAATATAAAAGGGATCTCTAATGTAACTATTAAAAGAATGTTTCAAAGTCAAAGATAAAAAAGAGAAGAGAGGAGACAAGAAGTGACGTAAGAGGGTGCAAGTGTAATAAATAACAATATCGTGGTCGGTTAATTAACAGAAATACAAAGAAACAGGAATACGAGTTAGGAATATAAAATTATTTTAAACAGCTTACTACAACAATATAGTAAAAAAAGTATTAACACACACACACATATATATACATATACATACATACATACATACATACATACACACAGACACACAATATGTATACCTACATACATACATACTTGAGTTTCGAATATATCTTCGTCAGAAATACATGCTATATTCGAAACCGGTCAAATACATCTCTTGTATTGTGAAGATATTCATTTTCATTCATACCCTTCTACATACATGAACATATATCACATCTATATGTATATATATACACACATATATGTATATATATATATATATAAATATTAAATACACACACACACACACACACACACACACACACACACACACACACACACACACACACACACACACACACACACACACACACACACACACATACACATACACACAGACACACACACACACACACACAAACCATACATCTCTTTCCCTCCTCCCTCCCTCCCTCCCTTTACCTGCAACCCAAGAGCGGTCGAGAAGCCCCTCCTTCCTCTCAATGATGAAGGAAAGAGCCGTCAGCCCCACGGCCATGAAGTAGGTGATCCTGAAGGAGGAGAAGGAGACTTAGGGACTGGCGGGGGACTCATTTCGACGGGTGGAAACAGGGGATTAAGGCGAAGGTTTGAGATGTTTTTTTTGTTGTTGTCTTTGTAGGGCCATAACTGAGAGCCAGTTTGGGCTTAATCTTGAATTAAAGTAATATATAAACATGCAAAACATATTATACATACTCATAATATATATATACTATATATATATATATATATATATATATATATATATATATATATATATGTATATATATATATATAACATATATATATATATATATATATATAATATATATATATATATGTACACACACATATATATATATATATATATTATATATATAATATATATATATATATATATATATATACATATATATATATATATATATATATAAATATATCATACATACATACAACATACACACACACACACACACACACACACACACACACACACACACACACACACACACACACACACACACACAACACACACACATACACATACACACACACACACACACGTGTGTGTGTGCGTCTTGTACATACATATACATGTATAACGCACATACATATAACGTATATATACACATACATACACACACACACACAAGTGGAAAGAATGGAAGAAGAGCCTTCGGAAGACTTACGTGAGAATGACTCCCGGAGCCATGAACTCTGTGAAGGACGTGCTGCCCTTCCCGTAAACCGGCGTCTGGAACTGTGCAGCAAAAACGGGAAGTGTTATTCATCATGAAGAGAGAAGTGTTGTTCATCATGAAGAGAGAAATGTTATTCATCATGAAGAGAGAAGTGTTGTTTATCATGAAGAGAGGTGTTGTTTAATTCATGGAGAGAGAAGTGTTTGTTTATCATGAAAAAAGAAATGTTATTTCATCATAAAAGGAAATATTCATCATGAGAAGAGAGAAGTGTTGTTTCAATCATGAAGAGAGTAGTGTTGTTCATCATGGAGAGAGGAGTGTTGTTCATCATGAAGAGAGAAGTGTTGTTCATCATGAAGAGAGAAATGTTATTCATTCTGGAGAGGAGTGTTGTTGGAGAGAAGTGTTTGTTTCATCATGAAGAGAGAAGTGTTGTTTATCATGAAGAGAGAAGTGTTGTTTTATCATGGAGAGAGGTGTTGTTCATCATGAAGAGAGAAGTGTTGTTCATGAAGAGAGGAATGTGTTTATCATGAAGAGAGAAGTGTTGTTTATCATGGAGAGAGAAGTGTTGTTCATCATGAAGAGAGAAGTGTTGTTCATCATGAAGAGAGAAGTGTTGTTCATCATGAAGAGAGAAGTGTTGTTTATCATGAACAGGGAAGTGTTTGTTCATCATGGAGAGAGGAGTGTTGTTCATCATGAAGAGAGAAGTGTTGTTCATCATGAAGAGAGAAATGTTATTCATCATGAAGAGAGAAGTGTTGTTTATCATGAAGAGAGAAGTGTTGTTTATCATGAAGAGAGAGATCATGTTGTTCATCATGAAGAGAGAAATGTTGTTTTTCATAAGAAAGAAGTGTGTTAGAAAGAAGAAATGTTATTCATCATGAAGAGAGAAGTGTTGTTTTATCATGAAGAGAGAAGTGTTATTCATCATGAGAGAGAAGTGTCATCATGAAGAGAGAAGTGTTGTTTATCATGAAGAGAGAGTGTTATTCATCATGAAGAGAGAAGTGATGTTCATCATGAAGAGAGAAATGTTATTCATCATGAAGAGAGAAGTGTTGTTTATCATGGAGAGAGAAGTGTTGTTCATCATGAAGAGAGAAGTGTTGTTTATCATGAAGAGAGAAGTGTTGTTTATCATGAAGAGAGAAGTGTTGTTTATCATGGAGAGAGAAGTGTTGTTTATCATGAAGAGAGAAGTGTTGTTTATCATGAAGAGAGAAGTGATGTTTTCATGAAGAGAGAAGTGATGTTTATCATGAGAGAGAAGTGATGTTTATCAGAAGAGAGAAGTGTTGTTTATCATGATCATGAGAGAAGTGTTGTTTATTCATGAGAGAAGTGTTGTTTATCATGAGAGAAGTGTTGTTTTATCATGAGATGAGTTTATCATGAGAGAAGTGTTGTTTATCATGAAGAAAGTGTTGTTTATCATTGTTGAGAAGTGTTGTTTATCATGAGAGAAGTGTTGTTTATCATGAGAGAAGTGTGTGTGTTGTTTATCATGAGAGAAAGTGTTGTTTATCATGAGAGAAGTGTTGTTTATCATGAGAGAAGTGTTGTTTATCAATGAAGAGAGAAGTGATGTTTATCATGAAGAGAGAAGTGAGTTATCATGAAAGAGAGAAGTGATGTTTATCATGAAGAGAGAAGTGATGTTTATCATGAAGAGAGAAGTGTTGTTTATCATGAAAAGAAAAGTGTTGTTTATCATGAAGAGAGAGAAGTGTTTATCATGAAGAGAGAAGTGATGTTTATCAAAAGAAGATGAGAAGTGATGTTTATCATGAAGAGAGAAGTGATGTTTATCATGAAGAGAAATGATGTTTTATCATGAAGAGAGAAGTGATGTTTATCATGAAAGAGAGAAGTGATGTTTATCATGAAGAGAGAAGTGATGTTTTATCATGAAAGAGAGAAGTGATGTTTTATCATGAAGAGAGAAGTGATGTTATCATGGAGAGAGAAGTGATGTTTATCATGAAGAGAGAAGTGATGTTTATCATGAAAGAGAGAAGTGATGTTTATCATGAGAGAGAAGTGATGTTTATCATGAAGAGAGAAGTGAGATCATGAAGAAGAGAAGTGATGTTTATCAAGAAGAGAGAAGTGATGTTTATCAAGAAGAGAGAAGTGATTTATTCAAGAAGAGAGAAAGTGTTGTTTTATCATGAAAAAGAAAAGTGTTGTTTATCATGAAGAGAGAAGTGTTGTTTATCAGAAGAGAGAAGTGTTTTTATCATGAAGAGAGAAGTGTTTGTTCATCATGAAGAGAAGAAGTGTTGTTTATCATGAAGAGAGAAGTGATGTTTATCAAGAAGAGAGAAGTGATGTTTATCAAGAAGAGAGAAGTGTTGTTTTATCATGAAAAGAAAGTGTTGTTTATCATGAAGAGAGAAGTGATGTTTATCAAGAAGAGAGAAGTGTTGTTATGCATGAAAAAGAAAAGTGTTGTTTATCATGAAGAGAGAAGTGATGTTTATCAAGAAAGAGAGAAGTGATTGTTATCAGAAGAGAGAAGTGTTGTTATCATGAAAAAGAAAGTGTTGTTTATCATGGGAGAGATTGATGTTATCATGAAGAGAGAAGTGTTGTTTATCATGAAGAGAGAAGTGTTGTTTATCATGAAGAGAGAGTGTTGTTCATCATGAAGAGAGAAGTGTTGTTTATCAGAAGAGAGAATAATCATGAGAGAAGTGTTTGTTTATCATGAAGAGAGAAGTGATGTTTACAGAAGAGAGAAGTGATGTTTATCATGAAGAGAGAAGTGATGTTTATCATGAAGAGAGAAGTGATGTTTATCAAGAAGAGAGAAGTGATGTTTATCATGAAGAGAGAAGTGATGTTTATCAAGAGAGAGAAGTGAATGTTTATCATGAAGAGAGAAGTGATGTTTATCATGAAGAGAGAAGTGATGTTTATCATGAGAGAGAAGTGATGTTTATCATGAAGAGAGAAGTGATGTTTATCATGAAGAGAGAAGTGATGTTTATCAAGAAGAGAGAAGTGATGTTTATAAGAAGAGAGAAGTGTTGTTTATCATGAAAAGAAAAGTGTTGTTTATCATGAAGAGAGAAGTGAATGTTTTATCAAGAAGAGAGAAGTGTTGTTTATCATGAAGAGAGAGAGTGATGTTTATCATGAAGAGAGAAGTGATGTTTTGTTATCATGAGAGAGAAGTGTTTGTTTATCAGAAGAAGAGAAGTGTTTGTTTTATCATGAGAGAGTGTTGTTTATCATGAGAGAGAAGTGATGTTTATCAAGAAGAGAGAAGTGAGTTTATCATGAGAGAGAAGTTGTTTATCATGAAGAGAGAAGTGATGTTTATCAAGAAGAGAGAAGTGTTGTTTATCATGAAGAGAGAAGTGTTGTTTATCATGGAGAGAGAAGTGTTGTTTATCATGAAGAGAGAAGTGTTGTTTATCATGAAGAGAGAGTGATGTTTATCATGAAAGAGAAGTGATGTTTATCATGAAGAGAGAAGTGTTGTTTATCATGTGTTGTTATCATGAAGAGAGAAGTGTTGTTTATCATGAAGAGAGAAGTGTTGTTTATCATGAAGAGAGAAGTGATGTTTATCAAAAAGAGTTGTTTATCATGGAGAGAGAGATGTTTATCATGAAGAGAGAAGTGATGTTTATCAAGAAGAGAGAAGTGATGTTTATCATGAAGAGAGAAGTGATGTTTATCAATGAAGAGAGAAAGTGATGTTTATCATGAAAGAGAGAAGTGAATGTTTATCATGAAGAGAGAAGTGATTTTATCATCAGATGAAAAGAGAGAAGTGATGTTTATCATTGAAGAGAGAAGTGTTGTTTATCATGTGTTTTATCATGAAAGAGAGAGTGAAGAGAGAGTTGTTGTTTATCATGGAGAGAGAAGTGTTGTTTATCATGAAGAGAGAAGTGTTGTTTATCATGAAGAGAGAAGTGTTGTTTATCATGAAGAGAGAAGTGATGTTATCATGAAGAGAGAAGTGATGTTTTATCAAGAAGAGAGAAGTGTTGTTTATCATGGAGAGAGAAGTGATGTGTTATCATGAAGAGAGAAGTGATGTTTATCATGAAGAGAGAAGTGATGTTTATCATGAAGAGAGAAGTGTTTTATCATGAAGAGAGAAGAGTTGTTTATCATGAAGAGAGAAGTGATGTTTCAAGAAGAGAGAAGTGTTTGTTTATCATGGAGAGAGAAGTGTGTTTATCATGAAGAGAGAAGTGTTGTTTATCATGAATTGTTTATCATGAAGAGAGAAGATTGTTGAAGAGAGAGAAGTGTTGTTTTATCATGGGAGAGAAGTGATGTTTATCAGAAGAGAGAAGTGATTTATCATGAGAGAGAAGTGATGGTTTATCATGAAGAAAAGTTGTTTATCATGAAGAGAGATCATGAAGAGAGAAGTGATGTGAAGAGAGAAGTGTTGTTATCATGGAGAGAGAAGTGTGTTTTATCAAGAAGAGAGAAGTGTTGTTTATCATGAAGAGAGAAGTGTTGTTTATCATGAAGAGAGAAGTGATGTTTATCATGAAGAGAGAAGTGATGTTTATCATGAAGAGAGAAGTGTTGTTTATCATGAAGAGAGAAGAGTGTTTATATGAAGAGAGAAGTGATGTTTATCAAGAAGACATGAGAGTGTTGTTTATCATGAGAGAGAAGTGTTGTTTATCATGAAGAGAGAAGTGTTGTTATGAAGAGAGAAATGTTATTCATTAAGAAGAAAGTAATGTTATTCATCATGAAGAGAGAAATGTTATTCATCATGAAGAGGGAAATTTATTATGAAGAAAGAAATGTTCATCATAAAGAAAGAAATGTTATTCATCATGACGAGAGAAATGTTATTCATAATGAAGAAAGTAAATGCAAGGAAAACATATAAGGAAATATTTGAGAAGAAATGTAAGAAAGATACAAAGAAATATAAAAAAATACAGGGAGAAAAGATAAGGCAAGAAAGTAAATTTGAGAAAAAAATCAAAAATACAAGGAAATATAAGATACAGGGAGAAAGGCAAGAGTAGTAAGTAAATTTGAGAAGAAATGCAAAAAAAGCAAGGAAATATAAACAATAAAGGGAGAAACGGTGAGAGTAGTAAGAGAAGAAATGCAAAAAACGCAAGGAAATATAAACAACAAAGGGAGAAACGGTGAGAGTAGTAAGTGAATTTGAGAAGAAATACAAGAAAATTAAAAGAAAGTAGAAGCCCTCAGAGTTCATGCCTCCGCCAAGACAATAAAATCGCAAATGCATTAAAAAATATTCACATTTAAAGAATTACATTAAAGGTGCTGTCACATTAGCACTTTTCCCGTCAATTTTTTGACAATTTTATTTAACATAAATACAAACATCCTCGAATATATCTCTCGATTTGACTTTGCTTGCCTGAAAAAAGTTGACGTAAAGGTTTTCAGACGGAAACGATCACTATCGTCTGACTGGGAAATCGATAATTCCCTCAAAAATGGACAAAATTTCAGAAAATTGCATAAAAAAAAAAAAAAAAAAAACGGAAAAAAGTGCTAGTGTGACAGCACCTTAAAATTACTTCTTTCTCAAATACACGAGTAACGTCCGTAAACATAACCGCCTTAGTGAATGTGCTAAAGATAACAATAATAATAATAGTTACCTCTACTGCCAAGGCAACAGGAGTAATTAAGCAATCATTAAAAAAAAAAAAAAAAAAAAAATACTGGATTCAGAACACGATCCAACATTTAATGTCATCTAAGTAAGTCTAAGAAACAATAAATATCTGTTCATAACTATTTGAATTATCCTGCAAACTAATTTAATTTCTTAGGCTAAGAAACAATAAAAATCCGTTCATAACTATTTGAGTAATCCTGCTAACCAACTAAGAAACAAACAAACAAACCAACGCTACCAAAAACATCACCCCTTTGGCGGAATTAAGAAGGGAAAGAGAGAGAGGGATAGAATGATAAAAAAGGAGGGAGGAGGAAAAGACATATAAAAGCGAGGAAGATATATTGAATATATTCGGAGATATTCAAAGAAAAGCGATTTACGTTTTGATAATCGAGTAAAAACGACGAAAAAATAAACCAAAAAGAAGAAAAAACGATAAAATTTTGAAGACGACCAATTAATGATGAAAAACAAAACAAATACAAAAACACAACAACCTTCATCATCACAACAACAAACAAATAATCAAACACAACCTTACCTCCAACGGAAATGAGAGCTTACTGATATCAAAATTCGGAATACATCGACCAATGTCGACCAAGAATCTTTCCAGAGAAGTAAGCAGCTCGTAGCCCAGGGTGGCAGAGATCTGGCTGTCTGCAAAGAGGCAAATTTTGAAATGGTTTACTACTTAGCTAGTCACTGTTCTTTGGTGGGCATATGCTAATAATTGGCATGTATATACACTTTCACATGCGCGCACACACACACATACATATATATATGTATATATCTGTATGTCTGTGTGTGTGTGCACAAACACACACACACACACACACTATCATTATTCAAACTTTGTAAGTCACAGTTCATTAAAAAAAAATACCCAAACTTACTGGTATTATCCATATACACGTTAATTTTACTCTGGTTCCTGTCCTCGGGAGCCAAGTCGCCAATGTTAGTCACAGAGTAGATGAGACTCTTTGTATAAGATTCGTTGAAGAAGATCAGACCCCATGACCGGCCGTCCTGAACCGAATCGTATCCTTCTTGGAAAGAGTCGTAGTACGTCTGGAGGGAGGAGAGCGATGCGTGAGGTCTTGGAGTACTTATACTTGGTGTTTATAGTTGGGAATAGGGGGAGAGAGAGCGGGGTAAGGCTAGATCAGTAGCAACTGGAGGAGGTGTCATGGCGTCTGATTCTATCTTGGGAAAAAAAGCACATTGGGTTTATTTTGATGACGTCACAGAAGTTACGGGTGCTTTGTGTATATGGTCGATCATTTTGGTCTTTTCAATTTTCAAAAAAGATGGAAAATAATGATTTTATTGGTTACATTTTCATTGAACAATCATCAAAATAGCCCTGTAGGACGCCATGACTCCTCCAGTTGCTACTGATCTAGCATTCCCCAGAAAGAATGTGGTTTTGAGAGATGACTGTGGCTGGTGTTTGGGAATAGCAAGGAAGAGAGAGAGAGAAAAATTATATGCTATGAAAGTGGTGGAGCGGATGAGACAGGCACTTATCGTATCCAACTACATAATAAATTTAAAAGAACATCCACTTGGAGATAATTCCAAAGGCTAACTCAGAACCATGGCATCCAACGCCACCTATTTCCACAGTACTAGGATCGGTATTCTTCGAAGTTCCCGGAAATAAATAAAAATAAAAAAAATCACAGACTCGTTTCTCAAAATAATCACGGATCCCCACCAACCTTTCGTATAGTCCTCGAGCTTAATTCGTCGATGTAGAGTTCCGAAGCCTTGAACGGCAGAGGCGGCAGCGACGACGGAAGGTCAGGCCAGTCGGTTGGCAGAGGTGGCAGGGGAGGCCAGTCAGTAGGCAGAGGTGGCAGGGTAGGCCAACCGACATCATCGTTCACAATAGCCATGGGGAGGTCGTAGGGTGTCCCCCCCACCGTGAGACAGAAGAGCACCGTTTGCAGAGGCGGCATGAGGAAGGAGAAGAGAAGGAACCTGAGAGGGAAAGAGACAGGAGGAGCCATGAATGTGCTTCTGTAGGAGAGAACACTTGGATTTCCTCGAAAATACTGAATAGTGTTAATGATATTGTCAGAGAGGAATGAAAATATAACAATGTTGGAAACAAGAAGGAATCGACTGTCACCATAACCATAATACCATAATACTAATACCAACTATAATGATGCCATTAATAAATTATATGAATAAAAGCATTTTAAATTATAAAATCAACAATAATAACGATAAAGATAAAACTACTCCTAACAATAAAATCACCAACAGAATTAGCAACAATAACAAGAAGTGCCAACACCAAGAGTAACAAGAACCAACAACAAACAACACATACAGGAATAAGAGTCAACAACATCAACAGTAACAAAAAAACAACACCAAGAGTAACAAGGACCAATAACAAACATCATATGAAGTAACAAAAGCCAACAATACCAACAGCAGTTACAACAAGAACCAACAACAAACATTACAAAGTAAAGACAAAACCAACAAAACAACATTACCAACAGTTACAACAAGAACCAACAAAGTTACAGCAACAACAACAACAACACCAGCAACAGTTACAAACAAGAATCAACAACAAATACATTACAGCAGTTACAAGATCCAACAACAATATTCAGTTACAGAAACAGCAAACAACACAACACCAGCAACAGTTACAACAAGAATCAACAACAAATACCATTACCAGCAATTACAAGACCCAACAACAATACCTGCAGTTACAAGAACCAACAGCAAACAACACAACCACCAGCAACAGTTACAACAAGAATCAACAACATTACCAGCAGTTACAAGATCCAACAACAATACCTGCAGTTACAAGAACCAACAGCAAACAACACAACCACCAGCAACAGTTACAACAAGAATCAACAACAAACAACATTACCAGCAGTTACAAGACCCAACAACAATACCTGCAGTTACAAACCAAACAACAAACAACACCAACAGTTAAAATAATCAACAGCAAACACCATTACCAGCAGTTACAACAAGAACCAACAACAAACAACACAACCACCAGCAACAGCCCCATTCCCAGAGACCCCAGAACCCAAAGGAACCTCACCCAATATTCCTCCAGAGACGAATAAAGTTCTTGACTAGCAGAGCAGAGAAGCGGTAGAGAGAGAACATCCTCTCATACTTAGACGTCTGCACCCAGGGGGACTTTGGCAGGAGGGAGAAAGGGAGAAAGTTAGTGGGAATGCAAAGCTGTGTTTATCAATTCGTTATTTATATTAGAGTTCTTTATTTATGGGGGGTCAATAAATAGGGGGAGAGGTGTTAGAGAATGTTTATTCATGTGTAATAATAATTCAAGTTGTTTATTCATGTTGTAATAATAATTCAAGTTGTTTATTCATGTGTAATAATAATTCAAGTTGTTTATTCATGTGTAATAATAATTCAAGTTTGTTTATTCATGTGTAATAATAATTCAAGTTGTTTATTCATGTGTAATAATAATTCAATATTCAAGTTCAAGTTTTATTTCATGTGTAATAATAATTCAAGTTGTTTATTCATGTGTAATATAATATTCAAGTTTGTTTATTCATGTGTAATAATAATTCAAGTTGTTTTATTCATGTGTATAATAATTCAGTTGTTATTCATGTGTAATAATAATTCAAGTTGTTTATTCATGTGTAATAACAATTCAAGTTGTTTATTCATGTGTAATAATGGGTATGTGTTACTTATTACTGGGTTATCTTTCATCAATGGGTTTTTTGATTCAACAGTGTTATATCATATATAAATGAGTTTTATTTATCATCTATGCGTTTCATCCATTAATAATGTTGTTCCTTAATGGTTTACAGTACCTATTAATGGGTTATATTATTCATTAGACGAGTATATCTTAATTGGCTATATTCCTTATCAACTGATAAACCGAATTATCAATTAACTAATTAAATATATCATCAACAGACATATTCACAAGAATGGACTTTCTCACTTCATAATTTTTTTTTCTACAACTCACCATCAGAATTCTTTCTTCCTCGGAGTCCTTCAGGATGATATGCCCTGAAGGAGTGACGACTTGCTTCAGGTCAGAGGTCACGCCCCTG